ACAGTTTAACCTTCATGGGGTATTGGCATTTTTTTGTTTTGTTTTGTTTTGACTCTTACTGATGAGTGGTTAGGCTGTGGCTTTTTTAATGTTGCTGTTTATTTTCATGCTGTGATTTTTTTTCTCAGAGAACAAGAATAACTTTGTTAGAAAGTCTGCAATTAAGACAGTTAACCTTGCCCTGCCCCAGGAAGTCGGTGCCCTTTGAAATCCCGGGTTCCTCTGAACATGAAGGATATTTACTCTGCGTAGATTTTGCTGGGCTTTGGATAGACTGTGTTGAATGAAAACACATCTCAAAAGGCTCTTTGCCATGTACCTGAATCTTTGGCCTACCTTGAAACTCAACAGGAATGTTTGGCTTTCACAGAGCCCAGAGCTGAAACTGTCTTTAGTGGTTGGCACAGAGTCCAAAGCCACACGAGAGGGCACAGGTTGGACAGGCAGACCATAAAGAGAGATGAAAAACTGTTGGCCAAATGGGCTCAGTCCTGCTGAAGCAGCATTATATCAGAAGGTCATGAGTCCAAAGACTGATAGAGTACTCCTTTAGAGGACTTCTCTTCCTATAAGACACCACCTGTTGAACATGGCACTCTTGTGTGCTATCTGTACAAAAAAGAGCATTTATTATTTTCAAAAAATATTCAGTTGTAGCATACAGTACTGTGCAAAAGTCTTGAATTATTCTGTATTTTTTATTTTGTTTTCAAGGAGTCAAACTTTCTCGCAGTCTTGTAAATGGTTATTTTTTCCCAAAGTTGCAAAGACTGAACAAAAATAAAAAAAAATTAAAATAAAATAAAATAAAAAACAAACCTTGAAGATCTATTGATCAAAACTACATGAGAAACTGGCTCCTTGGAAGCAAAGTATAAAGCATTCATTTCAAATTTTTACACAGTTGAGAGTCTGTCCTGATAAAAATCACCTCTTCTGTTGCCACATTTGGAGGCCAGGAAGGTAAAAAGTACCGCATAACCTTGGAAACACAAGATAGACTTATGTAAAAATCCAATAAGAGATGCTGTGTTAAAACAAACATACAGTTCCTCCTCACACTGGTAAACACTGAGTGGACTGCCATATTTTGGCAGGCCTGATAAAAACAGCTAATTCACTGAGCAGTTCAATAATATGACTTTACAGGAGAAAACGTTCATCAATGATGGACTTTGTTCACCAGAAAAATGAAAAGCATGGGATGTTTTCTTATTGACTTTTGTTTTTATATTACATTAGAAATTTTCAGAAAAGTAAATACAAATGCTTCTATATTCAAATGTAGCTCTGTGTGAGCTATCAGAGAGGCCAAATTTAAAAAGAGCCAAAATAACATCAGCCAAATAAGCAGTAGTGATCTTTTAGAGCTTGCAGAGGTCTTTAATGCTGTAACTGTAAGGATGTGACATCACATTATAACACACTGCTTCTGTTATTTTGCTGCTATAATGCACAACCCTATTTTGTCTATTAAAACTACTGCACATGTTTTCTTTCATTCTTCTGTTGTATTAATTATTTGAAACAAAAAAGAGAAAGTTAAAGACTTGCGAAATACTACCTTCTTTTATCTGAGTGGTGAAATGCACTGATGAATTATTTCAGGACATTAAAGAAAAGGTCATAAATCGCCGAATAAGTATGTAGAGCAAAAGGAGCAATCGTTTCATAAGATCATTTAATAGCTTAGCCGACACACTCCTACTGCTTAGTGAGAAATCTGTTTGCTGTGCATGAAACACAGCGCTGTATCCTAAAACAAACATCAAACTGTGAAAAAGGGCTGAACTCCTGCCTCTTCGAATTTCCAAGAGTTGCTTTTGTTGGCATGTGATTTAAGAAGTAAAAAAATGTAGCACCATTGTGTTCACACATATTTTCACGTGAGCCAAAAGCTCCTACTTCAATGAGCATTTCCACTTTTCAGCACTTTAAAGGCAAAACTGATTCGGACCCAAACATACTGATAAAAAAGTGCACGACCTTCAGTCCTCTGCACTGGGAAGGCTTGAGCCGAAATTTGCAGAAAACTTAGGAGATCAAACATAAGTTTAGTCTTTGAAATTGAATCATTAATAAACGAAAACCTGGAAACACATACAGTACCTATCAAAAATATTACAACTCTATAT